CCCGGCCCGGCCCGGCCCGGGGGAGCGCGGCAGCGCTCGGCTCCTGTGCCGCCTCAGCCCCACGTCCTAGTGCAAACACAGGGTGTCTTAGAAAATAAAAATACTGGTGGAGAGATGTTGTCCTGTGCTCCTAAACTCTTACCTTTGAGAGGGGATAATGACAGAAAACACCAAATAGCACTCTCCCCCGCCCCCCCAACGCCCCCTGCCGCCATCTCCTTACAAGTTAATGCACAGCAGAGAACTACGAGAAAGTTCGGGTTTGGAAATGGTTTTCTAGGAGTGTGGCTGTAACAAGCCTGTGATGTGTTACAGTTAATGAGCAGATCATGGCTTAGCATCCCTGCAGCTAAAGTGAAGCTAAATKTATATTTTTTAACCTTTACTCCTGCTTTTCTAAAGATTTTGATAATGTCTGATCTTCTGCAATGAAATATTTTTCTAGGTGAATCTGTAACCCCTTTGGTTCGTACAGTTCTGCTTAAATGTAGGTGTCTCCTCTCCCACAGTACAACTGCTATGAAGTTGTAGCCAACTGGTAAAACACAATAAAACACTGAGGATTTGGGAGTTGCAGTTCACTGAGACTTGCTGTCTTACTGTTAACTCCTCATTGATTTTGATCTATGGAACCTCCCTGGTAGCCTCCCTAACGCCATCCTCCAAAGCTCTTACAAGTTTCCAGTGCCCTCAGATGCCCACAAATCAACTCTCTGTCTCATTGCTCCACTGACTGTACCATGCAGAGGAGCAGGATCATGGTGAAACTCAGGAGAGCCTGACTAGCTCGGCCCTGCAGTCTTTAGGTCTTCCAAGTGCCCTGTCTGGAACTGGTTGCAGGCAGCTGTATCTTATTATGGGCCTATTTCAGCCTCTTCTTTCACGAGCAACAGAGAAGTTTGCCTTCTCTCTGTCCAGGTGCCAGCTGAGAAGTGCTGTAATATGGTGCAACATTTCTACTTCCTCCCATTGTACCTATTCTTTTACTGTAAATGCTGTTAGAAGTTACAGCATCTCTTTTTCTTTTTTATTTGGCTACCATGATAAAAATAAGCCCCATAACATGATAATCAGGGTTCCTAAATTTAATGAGAAGTCTTTCATGTTAGCATGCCTTTTCTTTTTTATAAAGCACCATAAAGAATTGCAGTGGCGTCATAGCAAGACATTTTCCCGGTGCTTGTGGTCCTTCTGAAGCCTGGTCCTTCTGAAACCCTTTAATTACTTKCTACCCTCTGCAAACTGGAAACCTTCCGCAGTTTGCTACGCTTATTTTGCCACATATTTAGTGACTTCTGGGGACCTGCAGACCTTTTTCCTCAGCAGAGTTAGCAGATCAGAGGTGCCATTTAGCAGGATCATTAGAGGGCATGAAGACAGGGGTCTTAGGAGGTTGCTGCCTCACAGCAACCATCACTGCCATAAAGTGCACTAATTTTTACATGCAAACCAATCACATGAGAGAGAAGTTGCTGTCACTGTGAAATTATTCTCATGCATTTCATACTAGCGCTGTTTTGTTGTCTTTTATAGTCAGGCATGCTTCTCAATGACAAAAATATTCCATCTCTTCTCCCCAATGGTCCAGACAGGAATTCCCCTGGCTCCTAACATTGCTCAGGAAGACATGATGTAGGAACAAGTTCTCTTAGGATTTCAAGTCATCATAGCACTGACTTCTGCACTTAGATGTATGCACTTCTGTAGCTTASATATAGGAGTTAGAGGATAGTTAGGGGAAGAACATATGTACTTGGAATGTACTTGTTCTTGACATGACTGCTGTCTGTGCCTTGTAGGATATATTAGGCCTAAGTTTCCAAGTATGAAATATTACATGCTAGCCGCTTAAATATTACAGGAATTTTCATACTTGATAATTAATAAGATTGTCTCTTCATACCTTGAGCATGTTTCAGAATTTAAAAATACCAACTTTCTGACCAATTTCTTCCAAATTTTTGAAGTGTATTTATTCAATGTAMGAGTTCACAAAAAATCCATGAAAATCAGAGGAATAGGAATGGATCCTCATTCTTGCCCCTTTTGAACATAAGGTTCACATTTGGTGTCTTCCAAGTACTCAGGAACCTCTCTCAATCACCAGGACTTTTCATTGAGAACTGAGAATGGCTTCAAAGTGACACTGTTCAGCTCCCTCAGCACTTCTGTGATCATCCCACCAGTTCCAGTGTGTTTAAGTGCTCAGTACCAGCAAGCGTAAGATTTCATTGCATCCTCTCTGGTCCCAAGGACCATGGATTGCTGGTGGCTGGTCTCACCAACAAAGAGTGARGCAGAGGAGCATTCCTTAGATTTGCCTTTTCTGTGTCCTTTGTCCAGGTCCTCTGTCTCATTTAGCAGCACACTTGCATTTTCCTAGCTTTCCTTGTGCCCAGGTAGTAGCCTAAGCCTCTTACCTTTCATRTGTATAACAAGATTCAACTCCAGATGTTTTGGGTTTCTGAAGCACATCCCTGCATTTAACCCTTCTCACACATTTGTCCTTCCACTTCTTRTTCACACTGTCTTTATGTTTGAGATTTGTCCAGAGCTGCTTCTTCATCCATGTAGGCTTCCTGTCACCTTTGCTTGATTTCCTACTTGTTGAGATGGGCCATTCTTGAACTTGGATGAGGTGATTCTTCAATGTCAGGTGGCTATGCTGGACCCTTCTTCTCTCCAGGGCTGTCTCCCATGGCATTTTTACAAGAAGATTTCTGAACAAGTCTGCTGTCATGAAGTCCTGGATGATAATCCTGTTTTTTTGTCTTGTGCCCTCCTCATGGGATTCTGAACTCAGCCATCTTGTGGTCACTTCCATCAGTGCTGCTCCCTGACTTGACCTTCTTTGTTCATGAGATCCAGCGGAGCAATTCACYTTGTCAGCAATTTGATCTCCTATATTAGGAAGTTACCATCAGTGTGCTCTAGAAATCTGGATAGCTGGGGCTCTGATGTGTCATCTCTCCAGCAAATGCCAGAGCGGACCACAGGTTGCTCAAGTTCCTTGTGAAAACCAGAGCCTGTGAATGTGAGGCTTCTTCCAATAGTCACAGGAAGGCTTCAGGAACTTTTCTTCCTTATTAGATGGTCTGTAACAGATACCCAACAGAATGTAGCTGACASTGGTCTGCCGGCTAATCCTTACGCATCATCTCTCATCCATCCCCAGACATCACCACTGCCTCCTATGATCTGTTCTTCACAGACCCTCTCCTCACTGTCCCAGGCTGTCCTTTATAAAGAGGCTGTGTTTTTTTTTCCAAAGCAGAGGAAAAGACCTTTTTGTGAGCTATCCCACCATGTCTCYATATGCCCAATGTGACTGTGCCCTTAATGCCCGTGCACAAATTTCTAATTTCTTCTGCTTGCACCCTTTGCTGCGTGCATTACTGTGTGGACATTTCAGAGAAACACTGTCACACACTGGTTTTCCAGAAAGGGCGTGAGAGCTTTCCCCACAATGCTGTCTCATAGGAACCTCTTTGTTACCTATTTTCATGCATAGGCTTGTGGTAATTCCACTTCTGCCCTGTTGATTACGG